AAGTCAAAATTCTACAGCAAAATTAATTCCAGTGGTAATTATCGTAAAAACTCTTAACAATGTATTTACATGATATATATCATAGCCGTATTCCGTTAAATATACTTGCATTAATTCCTAACCACATACAATTCCTTTTTTATCATTTGAAATGCATATCTATAGTAAAATCATTGTCAATACACTTAGCAGAAACATTACCAACGCATTTACATATAATAGCCGTATTTTGTCAATAACACTTGTATTCATTCTTGACCACTAACAATCCGCAACAGATATCTATAGTAAAATTAATAACAATGCATTTATGTAGTAAAAACATTAGCAATTATAATAGCTCTCTATTCTATAAAGCTTGCCTTAATTCACTGACAATCTCCTTTTACTCCTTTGCAATGCATTTCTATAAGAAAACTTTTTTTGGCAATGCATTTCTGCAGCAAAAGCATTAGCAATACATGGTGCGATGGATAAATTGTCATCTAAATTACACAAAAATGAAAATAACACTGACATCTCATTTTAACAGATATATTTACCAAAATTACACAAAAATATCTTGAAATACTAAAGGGTAAATTTATTCAATAAAATCGCCATTGGCTTCAACCACAGCTTCCAGATGACTTCGGAATCTCTTGCAACTCTTCTGGACAGTTTCCTTGTTTAAGTCGGTGAATGATCTTATCTTTGCCTTCAGTTCATCTTTGGTGTTTACAAGGAGTTTTGTTGGTTTCTCGTTCAACTACGCCCCACACATAATAATCAAGGGGATTGCAGTCTGGGGAGTTAGGTGGGCCAGATGTAAGCGGTGATTTACTTGCAGAAATTGTCTGACAGCCATGACTCAATTCTCCTGTTTGTGTAGCATGGTGCAGAGTCCTGTTGCTAGACAAAGGGTCTTCCAGCAGCCATCCTCTCGACCCAGGGCAGCACTACCTTCTCAAAACACTTAATGTGGGCTTCCGTTTTGAGGCTGAGGCTCTGAAGACGAATGGAGGAATAACGTTGCAATCACTAGTGATCGCGCCAAACACCTTCGTAATCACTATTAGACTCATTCAACTCTTTCCGAACCTCTGCGCTGTTCTGAGATCGACATCCAAGTACTCTGAAATGTTCGTATTGGAGCCTCCGGCGCGAATGCCAAGCAGTACAGCATGCCGTTTCCAAATTTCTAACGGAGAGAATTGTCATAACGGTATTTTTCTCACAGACGGTGCCCAACTGATCCTACTATACTATGCAATCGGTAAAATCAAAAGCAAACAAACGCGCATGCGCGAAGTTAAAAATATAAAATGACGATAATTTACCCATCACACCCTGTATATTTAAATGATGCATATAATATTCCAATTCTGTAAGTAACACTTGCATTAATTTCTGACTAATGACAATTTTTCTATGGCCAGAAATATTTAATTTATAAGTGATGAAAATTACTAAAGTGCAAGAGTAGAGGTAAAGACAGAACTCAGGGATAAGCAGTGATAAAATCTTGTCTTGGTTTGCTAGATCCAAATGCAGTCAGTGCTAAAGTACATTTTCATAATAAAGTTCATCCCATGCAAGTCTCAAGAGCCAATCAAGGTAGAGGGTTACTGTTAATATGGCTATGATGAATTTGCTATTTTATAATCAATTTTAATAAATATTTTTGTAAGATTTTGGCTGTCTGTTAAATAAGCATCTTATAAAATCTTGTGGCATCTTTGCTGCTTCTTTTTTATAAAATTCGCTA